AAAAAAGGTCACTAACTGGGTTTCGAAAATGTCAAAGTAAGCTCAAAGTCTGGTCAAATGTCTGTGAAGATAGAATGCTGAATATTCGAAAAACATTAAATTTTTACACAGACTTGCTTATTTAATAAAAAAAAAAGTAACTGATAATTATTCGTAATGATAATTATAAGAAAATGCTTGTGATCGATAAAAATAGTATGAATGGCGTGTGCATAATTCGTATAGACTGTGTCGGATGATCATAAAAGTGAGATTGCTGTTCGATTGCGGAAAGAGGCATTGTCCCGGGAATTCGTGTGCGCTATCTTAATGTGTATCGTTTGCTCATTAAATGTAACTCGACTTTCATCAAAGTTCTATACGCGAGATACGTTCCCAGTTCCTAAGCTTTCGTTTCGTCGAATGTATCTTACTAACGAATGACAATCCATCGATTTTTGAAACGCGCGAAGGTTCTCTTGCATTTTCTTCTTTTCCGAGGCATTAATTTACAGGCGTAAGAAGAAAACGTGACCTATCACTTTTTTACTGTTTACGTTATTATTTCGATGAAACACATAAGTGAAAGCAATGTACCCTCTGTAATATAACGTGTATGTATATACGGAAGTATATATATGGGTGGAACTTTTAAATTAATTGAAGATAAAAAGAAAAGATATAAGCTGTATCTTAAATTCGTATGCCTGTAAATGCCTAAAAAAATTGAGCCTAAAAAAAAATGCATATATAATTGCCGCTTTTAACTAATAATAATGTAATTATACGGTTTTTAAATGTAAGTTTATGAGTTCTGTAACCTCAGGAGAGTACACTATAAATCCATGATATCATATTCCAAATTAAATAATCCCTTTACGTTTGAACTAACTTTTAGTTACACTTTTCAACTCGTCATTTCACAACGCTGCCTCCCATCGTCGGGGCACGAAAACACATTCTAATAATCTTTAAATGATTTAATTATTAAATCATTTAACATTGTAAAATTGCGTTGTAAAATCGTGAAAACGTGTCGTTCTAAAATCTTCGTACAGCAGTCTCATACATCTATGTGAAGAATAGAATGAGTGAGATGCAAATCGTAGAAACTTATTGTCTTCATAGGTAATAATGAAACACAAGTTTCATTATTACCTATGTAAGTTTCATACGGAAGCATGAAAGTGTGTGTAGTATTATAACGCGAGTTAATTATTAATTAATGAATTAGAATTGGTAAAGTTTGTTATATATCGTTCTTTCTTTGCGAAAATATCAAAATTGTGTAAAAACGAAAAAAAAGATAGCCGTACTCCGTTGATAATTTTCATTTTTGTCCAGTATATAGGAGATAGTTCCAGCTGGAAGTACAGCTTTCGAGATAAGCGAGAAAATCGAGATATTTAATTGTACGACGCAAGCGTTTATCGCGCATATTGGAGAGTAACTCGGAAAAAAGAGGTACGACTGTAGCCGCAGCTAAAATACCTTACAGACTTGACAAAGTATCCCGAAATGTCTCGCTTTCTTTTTTTTTTTTTTCCGTTTTAAAACAACTTCGCAGGAGACACGCGTTTCCGACATTGACTGTCTGGACGCCTTTTTAGCTCTATCCCTCCCTTCTTTTTGTCCCAATTATCACGTTTTTACATTCAGTTGCTAATGTCGAAACAGTTACATTCCAAAAGTGTAATCGCGAGAATCTTTCCACTTCTTCGACCGAGAGAAACTTTCTTTTTAATCTTTCTTATTCGTGCTCCCAGATTCTTTCTCCACAGTGTATGTTGCTCTAACGGAGAGTACACTGGACTGCACGATTTTTTTCTTTTTTTATCTCTCATTTTCTTTTTATTTTCATTTTACACACGTATATGTGTATATATATATATATATACA